AGCCCAGAGTCCTTTAAATCCCCGCCGCGGAAGCCAGTTCGGTCCGGCACGGCATACTGGCTCTTGCCGGCACGCCACACCGGATCGGACCGGCTTACTTTCACTTCTGGGTGCAGCCCTCTGCCCCCCAAATTATGTCCATGTTAAAAAGTGGGCAGGCCTGGCCCTCCCAATTTTAAAACTGGGGGGCCATGGCTCCCTCCCCCTCCCCTTCACCCCCTTGTTCCGGCACCCCTGCTCTTGGATCACTATAACAGGCTTACCATGGAGTCACAGACAGTCCCCCTCTCCAGTCTATCTTGCCACCCAGACAAACTGGACTTAGTGATAAATGGTCACCAAAAATCACACCACATTCAGGTTGCTCCCAGTCCCAAGAGACCAGTCACTTACCCCAGATCACTTGGTACCCTAGATCTTACACCAAAGACAACACCTGTAGCCAATCCTGTAATAAATGATCAAAGGTTTGTTAACTAGGAAAAAGAAATAACAGAGTTATTTGCAGGTTCAAGCAAGCAAACGTCTACACACAAATGAGTTCTCATCTAAAACCTAAGAGTGACCGAGTTGCAGTGATCTGTCTATTCAAAGTGTCTTTCAGGGCGGACCCAGCAGGCAGCCCTGGGGAACTCTCGCCGTGTCAGAGTTCAGACAGCCAAACAGATGGAAAATTTTCCTGTGACTTTGTTTTATTTCCTTCATTCAGCTTCCAAGTCCACAGGACAGGCTTCCTTGCACATGGCATTTCCAAGGTGGGATAGGCCCATTAGCCAATCCTTTGTTTGCAATATTCCTTGATGACCCAGCTGATTTTAATAGTCCTTCTGGATGGGGTGGGAGAGAATTCCTGTGCCTGCGTTCACAAGTTCAGAGCCAGGGACAGCTCTATGTATTTTGCCGCCCCAAGCACGGCAGTCAGGCGGCTTTTGGCAGCGTGCCTGCGGGAGGTCCCTGGTCCCGCGGCTTCGGCTTACTCGCCGCCGAATTGCTGCCAAAACCGCAGGACTAGCAGACCTCCCGCAGGCTCATCGCTGAAGGCTCCCTGACTGCCGCCCCCCCAGCGATGGGCAGGCCGCCCCCCGTGGCTTGCTGCCCCAGGCATGCGCTTGGTGTGCTGGTGCCTGGAGCCGCCCTTGTTTAGAGCAGACATTTGCAAAGTTATAAAGCAAAACTTACATATTTTCTTATGGCGCGGAACACAGACATTGCAAGTGAGATTAATGCCTGCAGCAACTTACAAGCATTTCATA